ATGTTTGAATCTAGGCAGAGCTTTAATATTCCAGAGGCTACACCAATCCTCTTCCACTCTCCCATTAGCATGACTCATGTGGGAACTCCTCCATATTTTGTACCCATATCGCACACTATAAACATCATTTTTCTCATTTTTCCAAACCATCATATCTTCTACAACATCTTCCATCAATGGGACTTGTAAAATTTATTCAGTTACTGCATAATCAAACAACTCTCTTATCACCTTCATATCTCATTGCTTTACATTAGGAAACATCATATTTTTAATGGTAATATCATACACACCTTGCTTTTAGAGGTCACTTAGACAATCCTCTCTTTTTCCTCGAAGCTAAGGTTCATTCATTGCCATAATATGACTTCCATCCCCAATACTCCACCTACAACCTAGTGTTAAAACCTCTCTCGCTTTCCAAATACTCCTCCATACAAAAGTAGGATTATAACCAAGATTAGCTTCGAAGAAAGAAGTTTTAGTATAGTGCCTTGCTTTGAATATTCTGGATACAAGAGCATAAGGTTTTATCAGCAGATGCCAACTCTATTTAGCAACCATAGCCATGTTAAAGACTTTAAAATCTCTGAATCCCCACCCATATTCTTTCTTAGTACAAGATAGCTTCTCCTCCGACATCAACCGTATTTGTTTATAATATTAAAAGATGTGTCACATGCAAGTGTACATGTTGTGATTACAGCAAGTAATAAGTATAAGAGTATCGTACCCACATGGAGTGTTGTTACTTAGGTTTGATTTTTGTATGGAAACTACTCTTTTGATTTAAGCATGAGCAGAGAGAAATAATGTTTGGTGTTTTATGAGTTCAAAGTTCACTTAAAACAAATATCAAAAGTAACGTGAAAAGAAGTGGAAATATATTTAGAGTAATTGAGTTGAGCTATGTTCCATTAATATTATTAATATAATCACGTGTTTATGAAGTATGGTGTCGTGATAGGTGAGATCTGAGTGATCTTGTGGTGTATCTCTACAACATCAAAGCATGCATAACAAGGATAAGTAAACAAATATCTAAGCCTCACTTATAACCCTAATATGCGTCTATTAGTCTTCTGAAATCCTCAATTGTTGTAGATTTTTATCTCTAAGTAAGCAAAGCAGGTGAATATCTATCCTACTCATTCAACTATTTTTATTAAGAAAATCACTTGTTGTTGGATCTCTCACAACAACAAGATGTCATCTACTCTTAAGTTGATCATGCAAAGAAGTAAACTTATAACATACTAACATATAATAAAATGAATCACTTAACCACACACCATATAACATAAAAACACTTTAATATTAACTTTACATTGCTTAACTACGAAAGATTTAGCTCATAGTGAGCTGAGCACAAGCTACAAAGATGGTTCTTGATAGGAACATCTCTTGAACAATAAATGAAGAAAAGACATAAACCTAAGAGAGACTTGGAAAATGCCTTGAGATGACTAATCTTCAAGAGATGTCTCCAGTCACGCCACTGCTCATCAGTTGGTACAGGATTGGGTGAGGAGAGAAACACTTTCACACTCTACTATCCAAGCACTTAGACTCTTTGTGTTTTTCTCTTGGAACAACTGAACTCCCCTTTCATTTCTCATTACAACTCTATTTATAGACCAATGATTAGGGTTTGTGTTGCATTTAATCATGGTCCAAATATGATGAAATCACATCAAGCCCATATAAAAAGTAGCGCCAACACATAAAATCAGTTGCTTAGAAAATAAGGAATCTGGTATAAGAAGACCATGCTAGGAGACAAGGTGTAGTGTGGCAGACTACCACAGTCGGTGTAGGAGGCACTCTGTCATTTGTGCAGTGTACTATTGTACCCGATTTTGTCTTCTAGCGCCTATACCTTGTGCTTTGAATTTGAATGGTTTTCTTTATTTTTTAGCACAACCAAATTTTCCTTCCAATGATTTCTTCCTTCCACGCTATCCTTATCATCCATTTGTTTGCAATAATTATTTCCCTTTGGCCTGAGTCTTTCAAATTCCTTCAATTCATGCCTCATGCAGTAGACCATTGTAGTCTTGCCTTAGCTTGACTCTGTTAACCTTTAATTACAAAGACACAAATTAATAATAAAAAGGGAGCAACTATTATGCTCCAAGCTAGTCTAATAAAAACAACTAAAATGCAGGAAATTATAACTATTAAGCTAATTAAAAGACTAATTAATAAAAACTAAATGCATGTATTAACTAAAAAAATATGGGTTAACACACCCACAGACTTAAACCATTATTTGTCCTCAGGTGATGCGACAGGAAAAGGCAGACAGAACATTTTTAAGTAACCATCCCCTCTTTAACAAGGCCAACCTTTTTCAAACTCATAAATCTTCTCAAGGGACTTGTCCTAAAAACAGGTATAACTAAGTCCTGAAGCACATTCTTGATTGCGTATGCTCTTTGGATCACTAATACTCCCTGTCACGACAGAACTCTTCTATCAAGATAGCCAAACTAATTTCAAATTTTGATTGCTTTTTCCTATGGTCCAACAACTTAGTTTTCATATCTAGTAGGGGTTTTAACTTTTTGTTCTTGAATTTACACCTAGGACCACACTTGCAGAGTTTGACATGTTACAAGACACTGAAGTAGACTCCGAAGGAGAAGTTATTCAGTGTGTAATGTTAGTAGAATTTAAACCCGTGAGTACGGAGAGGCACTTAAGCAGCAAGTTTGGTTGTAGGCCATGAAAGAAGAACTTGATGTTATAGAGAGAAACAAGACTTGGAAGCTGACATAACTTCCAAAAGGCAAGAAAGTCATAAGCGTCATATGGGTTTTCAAGCAGAAACTAAAGCCAGATGGATAAATTGGCAAACACAAAACAAGACTAGTAGCAAGAGGTTCTCAACAAAAGTCTGGGTTGGATTACTCTGAAGTGTTTACACTTGTAGCGAGACATGAAACAATCAGACTAGTGATTGCAATAGCTGGTAACAGGAATTGGCCTCTTATGCATTTAGATGTAAAATCTACATTTCTGAATGGTCCATTACAAGAAGAGGTATACGTGTCACAACCTCCTGGATTTGAGAAAAAGAATCAATAAGAGATGGTGTTCAAATTACACAAAGCCTTGTATGGATTGAAGCAAGCGTCCAGAGTCTGGAATCTGAAGATTGGTTCATTTTTCTAGGGAAAAGGGTTTCAGAAGTGTGAGATGGAGTCTGGTGTTTATGTTCAGCATACTCAGAAGATAATATGATTCTGGCGTGCTTGTATGTGGATGACATATTGCTCACAGGAAGTTCTGAACAAGATATGGCTGAGTTCAAGAAGGTTCTGATGAATGAGTTTGAAATGACAGATCTTGGGAAAATGAGTTTCTTTCTAGGGATGGAGTTTATATACTCTGAGAAAGGAATCATTTTTCATCAGATGGAGTATGACCTTGAGCTTCTGAAGAGATTTAAGCTAGAGAATTGCAAAATTGCTATCACACATGCTGATACGAATCAGAAGTTGAACTATGATTCTGATGGAGAGGATGTGGATGCTACAACCTTCAAACAGATGGTTGGTTCTCTGAGGTATTTGTGTAATACCTGACCTGATATTTACTATGTAGTTGGTATGGTTAGCAGATTTATGAGTAAATCAAAGTGGTCTCATTACCAAGCTGCTGTCAAGATTCTGAGGTATGTGAAGGGAACTCTGAAATATGGAGTGTTATTTCTTTCTAGAAGGAAGATCGAATCAGAACTTTTGAGTTATTCAGAATCTGATTGGTGTGGAGACAGAGTATACAGAAGAAGTACTTCTAGATACTTATTCAAAATTCTGGAAGGTCCTATCTCTTGGTGTTCCAAGAAGCAACATGTTGTTGCACTGTCAACCTGTGAAGCTGAATATATTGCAGGAGCTCTGACTGCATGCCAAGCTCTGTGGATTCTGAACCTGCTGCGGGATCTGAAGATTGAGGTAGAAAAACCTCTAAAGCTGATGATTGATAACAAGTCTGCAATCAATCTTGCAAAGAACCCAATGCTGCATGGGAGAAGAAAGTATATTGAGACCAAGTATCACTTTTTGAGGAATCAGGTTCATGGTGAAATATTAGAAGTTGTGCATTGTAGCACCCAGAAACAGCTGACAAATGTTCTAACAAAGGCTATCAAGACTGATCAATTTCTTCGTTTGAGGGATGAAATTGGTGTTGTCAGTTTTGTGTAAATATAAATTAAGGGATGTTGTTGGAATTAATTTATATTTTAGGAATATCTTATTGATTAATTTTGTTAGAAGGTATTTTAGTATTTTATTATACCCTAATTGTGTGTATAAATAACTTAGTAATAAGTAAGTCAATGTAATTCATTAATTCATTATTCATTATTCTGTAGCCGTCATTCAATATATTCATTTTGCCTTTCATCTCTCCTTTGTGCATCAACTATGATCAAATAATTTTACCGGACCTATTTACTTTTCGGTTCATGGTTTAATTGATCCGACCGAAAGAAACGGTCTAGATTTTAAAACTATACTTTTGAGATTTGTTTCACCTATTCAATACAAATAATGTCTTGGTCTGGTCTGAAACAAATATATCTAAAAATAAGATAATTTAATTATTATTATTATTATTATTGTTATTATTATTATTATTTTTATTATTATCAGTAAATGCGAAACATTCGGAGGAGAGAGACAACAAAAAATTCATAGCTAATCATAGATGACCTTCTGAGTAGTTGTGAGTTGCTGTGTGTTAGAGACATACAACTTACTACTACGAAGCTAAATAACATATATTAACTATATGTATTCTCATGTACCGAATTCTTTTAGAATGAAGTTTTATTTCTAAGCATAGTAGTAGTAGTATTTCTTTTGTAATTTTATTAAATAAAAAAAAAAAAGCAGAGTGATCTCATCTCTATGTAAGACTAAAGCACAGGAGAAATGGAAAAAAAAAAACACAGTAGCGGAACAACAGAAAAGTGAGTATTATAATTATTAACAAGAGATGAAATACAAAGCATAAGGTAGATATTGATGGTGTTTGTGATGGTGATGGTGGTGGTGGGGTGTTGATTCTTTTTCAATCTGCCGCCGGAGGTGAAGAAAGTCATCAGCCGAACAAGGCAGCTTGAGGGGGCCATGAGTGGTGTAACCATAACTGTCATAAGCCATGTCAAGAAGATTGTTGAAAAGAGGATGATGAAGATATGAAATAGGGATGAGAAATCTTTGAGCATCACCTTGTTGAGATTGTTGTTCCTGTGAACCAACTTGAATTACTACGCATCCCTTCTTGACCTTCATCTTATGAGATAGATAGCTCTTCTTGTTCACTGAATTTCCAAAGTGATCAAGAAAAGAGGAAAGAAACTGTGAGGTGGAGGCCGGTATAGTTTGGTTTTTAAAAAGAAATAATTGATGATGTGTGTATAATGTTCGTACGTACGTGTTACGGAATCAATTTCGTGGTGGAGTCTGCGTGCGATTTAGTGGGGGCGTGACCACTGCCGTCCAATCCGGAATTGAAGGGATTCTTTTATATTAAAATTAAGTTGAAATCACATTTGAATATAAAGTCAGAAAATATTAAAATTTAATTATGAGTTCTAAACATCTCTGAAATTTGTTTAGCAATAAGAAAGTATTGAAAAAAATACATAAATAATTAGGTTTCAAGGAAAATTATACAAATAATCATATTTTAGAAAACACTTAAATAGAAGAGTCAATTCAGATAACACATCTTCTTTATTTTTATATGGAGGTGTCAAGTGAGATGACGCATAGGTGCACGGTGTTTGTCCTAAGTCATCTCAGATGGCGCCTAAGTGCTTTTAACTCTTAATTTTTTGTTATTTTCTATTTTAAATAAGAGACAATAAGTAAACGATATAATTTAATGAAACAATGATTTTTCAATAACAAATGAACGATTACATAATAAAAAAATTATTGCATATTATTTAGTTGTTCCCCAGAACTCGATAACAACCCATGGTTCCGCACCCGCGCCCTCGCCTATCTCGTGGTGGGTTTCGTCGCTTTTTCTGTTGTGGTTGGATCGATGGTCCAGCGAAGTCAATGCGTTCAGGATCCATGAAATCTGTCAGATCACCATATCTGGAAGGTCTGCTTTGGTACAGACGGTTACCCATGTCCTTAAAGTTTGATCGTCTTGGTGGGGGTGGGATTCCATGGATGGTCGATAACACTGGTCGTCTGAGTAAGGGGGTAAAAAGAAAATGAATCTTGGGGTGTTTAGTATTGCGATTGTTGGGTGTTATGGTGATATGGTGGTTGACGGTAAGTTGGATCGGTTGGATCATATTCTTCAGAAAATCCTAGATTTGGACTAAGGTGAGATGATGAGGGGCCCACATCGGGATGTTCAGAATATTAAAATTGTGTGTGGAGCATGTGGGTGTATTAATATTGAGATTGAGATTGGGGTTGAGTGTGGGGCATATGGGTGTGGGGCACGAGGTCCAGTGACACACATCTTCTATCAAAATCCTTTTTTTTTGTGAGAACATAATAATATTTTATAAGATAGAGGTTCAAGATGACGAGGACCTTCAAAATATGTTTTCTAATCATAAGTACTCTAGATACGACTCAATTAAGTTGTACATTGTGCTCCAAGAGGCTCAGTTGTCACAACCAACTCAGTCACAAGTGGTTGATCCCATCGAAGGTAAACAAGCAGAAGTAGATGTCGTTGACGAAGAAGAGGAAGATAAAGAGTTAGAGTTTGACAACATGGTTAACAATGATTCTGAAGATGATGTGCTACCTGAAATACCTCCAAATGAAATCTACACACAATATTCACATATTACAAACTTCAACATGGGCGGAGATGAACCGTCATCAGATTTTTTTTTCAACCCGTATATGCAGTCGGATGAAAATTTAAAAGAGAAAGATAAATTCCGTTCAAGAGAAGATTGTATGTGAGTTATAAAAAAGTTTCACATGTTAAACTCTATTGATTTTAAGGTAGATCCATAAAGGTACAAGCTCAAGTATGTTCACCCAGATTATATGTTCAGGCTCACTGCATCATACAGATTGAGAGGTGATTGTTGGGTGATAGGTTATATGTCCACCCATACGTGCATTAATTCTACTCAATCACAAGGTCATCATAAACTAAATTATGATATAATATGTCAAGAAATCTTACGTCTCGTCAACAATGATCCATCATTGAAGGTGAAAACCATAATCTCTCACATCACTACATTATACAATTATACTCCGTCATACAGAAAGGCATGGTTAGCAAAGATCAAGGCGATTGAAAAGGTATATGGAAACTGAGAGGAGTCATATAAAGAACTATCGCGCTACCTGCATGCAATTTAGATGTATTCTCCTAGAACTGTTTATATTATGGAAACATTGTCGGTGTATGCCCCAGATGGTACTTTTGTCAATAGAAATGGAATATTCAGTCGATTGTTCTGGGCTTTTCAACCTTGCATCACAGGGTTTGTGTCCTGCAAACTTATTATTCAAATAGATGGAACGTGGTTGTACGGGAAATATAAAGGCACGTTACTGATGGTAGTTGCACAAGATGGGAACAACAACATTTTCCCAATTGCCTTTGCTCTAGTCGAGAGAGAGACTAGTGGTGGTTGGACTTTCTTTCTCAAGAATCTACAAACACATGTGGATCCACAACCTGGTCTTTGTTTGATCTCCGACAGACATGCATATATTGAGAGTGCATATAATAATCCTGCAAATGGTTGGCATGACCCTCCTTCTACGCATGTGTACTGCATTAGACATATCGTATAAAATTTCACGAGGGAGATCAAATACAAGGCTCTTAGGAAAACAATTATGAACGCGGGGTATGCATTAACACAACCTTCATTGAAACACTATCGCAACGAGATCAGATTATCAAATTCGGATGCAGGTAGGTGGATTGATAATATTCCAATAGAGAAATGGACAAGGTCACACGACAATGGAAAACGATAGGGCCATATGACAACAAATATTATCGAATCAATGAACGGTGTATTCAAAGGTATATGAAACCTCCTAGCATCCGCTTTGGTGAAATCAACATATTTTAGGATGGCTTCGTTGTTTGCAAAAAGAGGTGAAATGTGGAATGCAGTCTTACAATCGGGACAACTATGAAGTGAAAGTTGCATGAAATATATTAAGGCAAAAGGTGCCAAATCCAACACCCATCTTATTATAAGGTTCAACCGACATAGCCAAAACTTCACTGTCAAAGAGACAATCGACCATAACGAGGGGCTCCCAAGACAAGAGTATAGGTTTATACTACCATCTTATTTGTGAGATTGTGGAAAGTTTCAAGCCTTTCATATGCCTTGCTCTCATGTCATTGTGGCATGTGTGTATACTCATCAAGATGCATTACTACTTCTATATCCCTTTTACAAGTCCAAAACCTTGCTCAGTGTATACAACAATGACTTTCTAATGGTAGCAAAACCTGATTATTGGCCTGCATACAAAGGGGAAATAATATGGCACAACGATCAAATGCGAAGGAATAAAAAGGTTTGTTCCAAAAGCAAGTGTATCACAACTGAAATGAAATCACTTGACAAGCTAGAAAGAAAGCGTGGTTTATGTCGTCAGGTCGTACACAACCGAAAAAATTGTCCCACTGGTTCTACAAGCTCGACAACATAAAAAATGTATGCAAACTATCTGCACTTTTTTAAGATCTAAATGTAACTTTTTTCATTAAGAGCATTTGTTACAACAAACCATACGCAAACAACAAATAAAAACACGATAAAACACTTGAAATTACAACTGTCAAAACAATTTCATCTGAGCCATTGTTGTACCCCAAAATTTTCCCTCTCTTTTCTCAAGACATTTCTCACAATGATCTTCAATAACTCAAGTTTGCACAAGTGTTGACTAGGTCAAATCACCTCTTGAGCACTGGGACCCCAAATTAGGGTTTTGGTGTTCTCAAGGATAATTGGACTTTTAATGCCTAAAGTGACTCTCATGGTTCATTATAGGTTTCCAAGATCACTTATACCAAGTTTCAAGTCTTACATCATAAATTTGCTTAGTCAATTGCTCAGATGACTGAAAATCAACTATATTGGATAAAAAGTCAACTATGGTCAAAATACAGTCAAACTTCATGATTTTTGGCCACAACAACATTTTAAAGTCATATTCATCAATTAATCAAGTGTTGATCACAATTATTCAAGAAAAACACTCAAATCATCAAAGGGGCAAAATTGTCAAAATTAGGGTTTTGACTGAGAATGACTGATCATTAACTTTTGGCCTAATACATGACCTAATGGTTTGAAGCATAATATCAAGGACTCAAACATATCATTTTTACCTAATTGCATGACTCAATTCATTTCTCAAGATCAAACAGTTGATACTTGAAATTTGGTCAACTGATGAAAAAATCAACGGATACATCAAAAGTCAAACTTTGACTTTTTGGTCAATATTATGTTTCAAAGATCAAGATTCATAAATACATTCAAAAATATGAAGCTTGATCATCAAGAATCAAGAAAGTCAAAAAGTCATCAAAAAGTCAAACTTTTTAATACTTAGAAATTTTTCTAAGTGTTTTGAACTTGATAATTTCACTACTTCATGACATTTTTTCACCAAGATGCAAGATGATTCAAGGAAAACTTTCAACAAGAAAGTTGTATATCATGATGAATTATACAACTTTGTATTAAAGGGTTGATGTCCAAAAAATTCTTAGATTTGAAGATATAACCTCATAAAGTCATGACATTGTTCATAAAATACTTAGTGAAAAGTTTGGCAAGTTAGGCAGATTTTTTGACCTAACTTCTTAACCAATTTTCACATAGTTCCAAGTTGATTTAGCCAAAATGGTCAACATGAAGTTTGTAGACAATATTTCAAGCTTTCTTAAATGTCCAATAACTTAAAGAGATCATTTTTGAGCTAGGAGATTCAAAGAGAAGATGGCATCACAAACATGGATTATATGTCATTTTCATGAAGAACACATGATTCAATCTCATGCCATGCAGCATAATCTTGCTTTACAGGCCTCTTAATTTGCAAATTTCACCATAATTAAATGTTTACATAAACTTTTGAGCTATGGTCCACTTGATTCAAGCATTGTCCAATTCATCTTGCCATTTAAGGGAGAAAGGTACCATTTCCATTCTTGAAAAGCAAGCTTTTTGCAAAAGTCCACTCCTTGAGCCTCTAACTTGTTTCTTTTGTACACACTCAATCTACAAAGTCAGAAGCAACATGTTTAAATT